TTGCTTAGTCATAGCTGAAAAGGAGCACGAGTACATTTCTTTGGACGGGCCATATTGGTTTGGTCTTTGGAGAAGCATTCATTCGACAAACAATATTCCGCCAAAAAAATTAAATGGAGGGTTAGTTGGACGGATCTACATTATACTCTGTCCACAACATTGTCAAAAAAATATTTTTCTGTACTTAAATTCAGAAACAAGTTTTGAAATGCAGAGGAAATGAAAGAGAAAGAAGAAGAAAAGTTTATTTGCTTCATTCAAAAATGGCAGTGTTTTTCACACTTTCGCTATTATCAAAGTCCCTTTCTGTTTTAAACATATTAACTAATTTCTTCTTGTAAAATATATTTCGTTAATGATCTAGAGAGAAAAGTGACGGAAATTCACAAACAAAAAGTAAATATATACGTCTCATGCAGCGCTTTAGTCAAAACTCGTGAGAAAAAACCATAACAAGTGGCCAAGAAAAGCAACTGCGCTCCTTTAAAAGTGCACTAATACAGTGTTGAAGCGGATCTTAATTCCGACTTTTTAGACTTGTTACTACTTTAATTTTCGCATCCACCTCTATGAAAAGAGCAAATCCTGACTTTCGCAGTAATAACTACGGGCAAAGTTCAGTGTAATTTTTCTCACTCAAAGTTTCCTCGCCATATAAATTTTTGTCATTATAACTCACCGTCTGTGAAACTTCACACCAAAAAAAGTAATGACGAGTACTTTTTATGAGACATTTTAGCAAAATTAATTTTATGCAATTTTAAAGAAAAGTTGTTTAATTTCATTTTAACTACAGAAGTTATTAAACATTTTATATCCTTACTTGTACCAATCTTTATTGGAATAAGTAGGAGCAATATAATATATAACGCAACAACACTTAATAGATAAATAGCAGGGGAATAGCAGAGACTAAGAAACAATACAAGAAAGAAATATGTAGGCGGTGTTGCCTATAGGTCGCTGTAGGACTGAAGGCGGCCTCGTAATAGGAATACTTGAGAACTAAAAGGGGAACGATAAGCACTCCAGACAAGAAGTCCAACGTCTGGTGGCACAGAGGAACCTTCTTTTAAAGTGAGTCAAAAGTGTCCTCAGGGTCCCCAGGGTGTGGTCTTTGGTGGTGTAATTGACCTAACACTTGAAGCAAATGGTGTTTGGTCTAATAACACTAAAAAAACATTAAAAAGTTTAACTTTTCATCCTTTCTCAAGAGAAACAGGCCTGGGCCCATTAAATGCTGCAAAGTTAGTAACAGCAGCGCTGTTGTTGTGCTACTATTAAAACCGCTTATTCATTCATCTAATTTTTTTTAGTTTAGCTATATTTGTTTTAAAAGTTTTGATATACCTGTAAAAAAGAGCTATCTCGACCCAAAAAATTTGAAGTGATCGCAAGCTTTTATAAAATGATGGAATAAGAGGAAAAAATGGATGTTAAAAGTGCCTTGAACGCCACAGGAACCTGCGGTTGTAGTTTATTAAAGGCCGAAAGTATATATAAAGTAACTCAAGATTTTAAATAAAATTGCTGACGGCAAAGGTGTTATTTAATATTTTTCAAACAAATAGAGTGAATTCTTCAACAGTAATAACCTGGAAAATCAAAAACGCCTTGTATTTTATTTGACGAAAGGAAGAAAAGCACAGTAATAAGGGTAAAGCGGTGTACATAAACATTTGTGAATAAAAGCTACTTTCTTTACCAGAGAGATCAAAGGCTATGACCTATAGGCGTCGTCATTGCTAATATGTATTGAAATTCTTCCGCGGTAGGACGAAGGCTACAGTAGTCCGGTCGGCTGACAACTTATTAAAAATGGTGGCTATCGTTCAAAGTGGACATTGTTTACCTGGTTTATTTTCGGAGTTCTGCAGATTTTATATGTTATAATTTAAATAAATTCTTTTCACAGCATTGTGACCAAGGGGAATAACAGTATAAATATAAAGTCAGTAAAAACAGCTCAAGCAGTCCGCTTTGAAAAGTTTCAAACCATACGCATCGCCCTGATTCCAAATTTTTTCAGGAAGACTCAATTTT